TGTCTCCATCGATCAGGAACGCCATGTATGTACTGTTCGCAATTTCCACTGACGTCTTTTTTTTCAGTGTGTCAGCGATTACGCCTATAAACTGGGCGCACGCAACACCATTGCTGTATGTGGGGTTTATGTCCAAGCCATTTTTCTTGTGAAGAGTTATTTCTGACTTGAACTTAGTAAACGGAACTTCTTCTTTTGCAATATTGTAGGCGATGTTAAACTAAATGATCATCTCGGCCTCCTCCGATGACCTGTTTACTGCTGCCTGCCGCTGAAAGGCAGTGGTGAACGGGGACATTTTGGCAGTGCATTTATCGCGGCATATAATGTGTCTTCTCGATACTGTATGCTTTTTTAGCGTTTCAAGTCGAAACGTATTAGCACCAGTGACAAATGCAGTGTTGCCGGCCATGGTCTTTCCACACTTGCGGCAATAAATGCAGTGCATCATATTGTCAGCTTGGCTGTATCTTAGCCAGGGAAACTGGTCAAGCCACTCGATTCGAAATTTATACATTCTCTCACTTTTCCTTTCAGTGGACTCCGGCTGGGAGTCGATCGTATGTGGCTCATTTTCTGATGCCGTCTCCGGACCAGTGTTTGACAAAAACAGAGAGGTTGATGGCTCCGTGTCAGAGAGCTGGCTCAGAATTTTGGACTGATCAGGCCTTAACTTAACGAAAAAGTTATCAATTGTCCTTTTCATATTTTCTCAATACCAACTTCATACACTTCTGACCTGGGCTTCTCTATCTGCCCGCACTTTCAAACGTAAACATAAGTAGGCCTGCAGGAATATCTGGACCACGGCCAATCACAGAGGTTCCCGCCTCTGAGTATCTCAGATTGGTTTAGAACACGACATGGGCATAATGTGTGTCTGTTGTTGAACACACGGAGACTTTCAGGGTTGCTGAAACTTTTTTTTTTCGAGAAAATACTTGGTTGCACCGGTGCAACCAAATATTTTTTATTAGTCGCACCATGGAGAAATTTGGTCGCATTTGGGACCAAATTGGTCGCACTCTAGAGCCCTGCTGTATAGTATACTGGCTTATATATCCTTCAAACACTTGACAGATAAATAGATTTCTTCAACATTTGTTAGTTGTTATATGTAGTCATTTATGATTTCTTACTAAGATTATATGACACTGCAGTTTAAAAATAATCCTGTTTTATTGTCACAGCAGGTTGTGTAGCGTACACTGGACTCTGCTCTGATTAGCTGGCTCGTGTGTTTGTGCCGTTCCAAACATTTGTGTTGGGTGAATCATACAACGCCCTCTGGTGGACAAACTATGTAATGTCAACACTCATAACATGATTCAAATGCGTTCCTCCGGTCTCTTCTTTACTTGTTAAATTTTCATTTACCGTCCATTATAAATTTGCTGATACTGATAGACTGGCCAATTACTAATGTCAGTTAGCAGTGCACTAAAAATGACCTACTCCTCAAACAACACTCATAAAGAATATGGTGAAGGAGGTGTTGTTTTTTATGTTATGTTTCTGTACTTAATTCTTTATTTTCTTCAGGTCTGTTTATGCTTTTCCGGTTTGTATGCTAACTGTTGGCTTTGTTAGCCAGGACACTTTTGCAAAAGAGATTTTAAATCTCTTAAAGTCCAACTTTACTGGTTAAATAAAAGATAAATAAAAAACAAAACAAAAAAAGGATTTAAAAAAAATGGTCAAAAGGTCCAGTTTAGTGACTTGCATTGGCTGAGGTAGCACCTAGTAGACAGCTACCAGTTACAGCTCACTGCTTTGGTAGTCAAAGCATGTAATATAATTCATAACATTAAGTTTTAATATTATTTAACGTTGAGTTAAATTCACAAAACTATAGGGACAAAACAAAATAAAACTTGTTTTTTTTTTCCTGGCTGTAAATGAGGTTATTTCTGCTATGAAGTTGGACATTTTAACACGGGAGTCAAGGGGATTGACTTGCTTTTGGAGCCAGCATCGAGTGGCCATTTCAGGAAATGCAGCTTTTGGCACTTGGTTGTTGGCTTCACTTTTCAGCCCTGGGAAGTTTTTGAATGATGGTCAGACTGGATGTGAACCCATAATGTGCCTCTTCTCTCTTGAGACGTCTAACTGAACCCGCTGGTACCTGCAGGACCCGGTCACTGCCCCGTCGTTTAAAAGTTCCAGCAGATTTATAACCCTTCCTCAGCAGCAGTCTGGATTGAATGCCTTGAGGGGAAAGAGGAGTCCTGTGAGTCAGTAGTCCCACAGGGAAGCGAAGATACTATAGAAAGAGTGTGCCTGTCTGTTTCTCCTCCTTATTACTGGGCCATCAGCAGCACAGCACGCCCACACCCTGCCACTGTCAGATGGCAGTCGGAGCGGCTGCCACCAATTAACCCCGTGGGCGACGAGTTCATACCAGCGGGCACCAGGACGCCACCATCACAGGGATGCTTAGGCGCTAACATGTTGTCTGAATTTTCAGCAGACAGAGCCCTAATGCCAGCGCCAGTTGTTTGTAATGAATTGTGGTTGACACTGAAGAGAAGCCGCTTTGATCGATGAGGCCAGCTTTGACATTTTTAGAAGAATTTATGATTTTTATCCCCACAGAAAGTGATTTATGGGCATGTAAGTTAACACATGTGTGCTCACCCATATCTGTGTGTTGCATGTGTTCCTCTCCACTTCGGAAGAGACAAATAACAACGGCACGGCTCATTGGGTGCATCCCCACCGTAGCAGAATTCAGAGGCAGCGAATTGGTGATGGCGGGGTGGGGGTGGAGGTGGGGGACTGGGCTGAGCAATTTTTCTATTGTCTGTCTGCCAAATGAAGGTTAGAGAACGACTGAGAGGCGTGCGTTGGCAGGGTACAGAGGTTGGCAGCCCTTTCAGGCAGGAGATGGGCTGGAAAACAAGTGGCATTCAATTTTGGGGATTTTTTTTTGGGGAGGTGATTCAACCCTGAGAGAGAGAAGAATGAACAGAGGGAGAGATTAAACAATGTCATCTGGGTGCATTTTGCCTTTGAGTTTGTTTATATATCATGGAGAATGAGCCACTGTGCACTTTTCAGGTGAAAATACTATTTTATAAGGGTTTGCATGTGAGTTCAGCAAATGACATCGCTGTATTTTCTACCATTGTGAGTCAATCATTTTGAGTTTATGTCTGTGACAGAGTATTTCCTCCTAGGTCGGAATTTGGCATGTGAAGACAGACAGAGGACATTTCTTCCTTTAAGAGATCTGATAAGTCTCCTATAAAGCCACCATCGTCTTCCCTGCATCCTGTCAGCTTTAGTTTGATTTTTCTACATGACATGGATTCACAAAAACAAAGTTGGTGTTAGTTAGTGTGGAAACTGTTGCCTTTTGTGTTTGGTCTAAAAGCCCTAAAATCTATTAAAGGCTGCGTGTCTGACAAGCTCGGAGATCACGGTCATTTGTGAATGTTTAGTTATCTAAAGGTTGCTGAAAGGAGAAGGTCAATAAACAAGAAGATTTTAAAGGTCAGAAGGCCTCAAATGTGACTCAGCGAAGGAGCATTTTATTTAAAGGAAATGGAAAATGGTTTCTGAAAATAAAAAGATCAATGCTTCAATCCTCACAGAGGCAGCGCCTCTCAATCAAGGAATCTCTGTATGTGTGTCTGGTTTTCTTGATAAAAAGTGTATTTGATTGTTTTGATTGTATTGATGAGGTAATCTGGATGAAGTGTGGTGTCACTTTGGGCATTTTCCCCAAGTTTATATATATATAGAAACCTCTGCTTATTGTGACATTTACCTTTGCTTGTTTTGTGTGATCAGTTTAACCTAAATAATGAAACAATGAGATAAAAGTCAGTAACGGTGTAACTCATTTTTAAGTATATACGATCCATTTTACCTGCTTTAATTCGTCTCTGCTGGGATCTGAGATCCTGCAAAGGTCGGGGAAAAAGGAGTGAAGAAGGCTGACTGATCATAACTCAATAGGTAGATAAAACAATCTCCTTGCCCTCCCAGTGAACTCGTACTCAGTGACCCCAGTAGAAACGAACGCATCCACACCCTCTTTTGAGTAAAGGGCATCCTTTCAGGAGGAATATCGCTCTTGTTACATTTTGTGAATGGAATTTTATTCTTTGAATGATTCACTCCTCATCTGTCACTCAGAGGTTTATATGATTTATTTGAAGAGATGCTGCTGTACCTGTATAATAGGAATGTCAAACTTAATGGACAATGTGGGCCAAATACAGCCCAGTATGACCTTAAGTGCGCCAGACCAGTGACATGCCCCCTTTCTATCAGTGTAAAGAAGTTTAACTGCACACTTAATCCCTGAGTATGTTAGTATTAGAAAAAAGCAGTGCAATTTCAAAGGTAAATATCAGTATTGCTGCATAACAAAGAGATGCTGCTCTTTTAAATGAAAGAAATCTGTTTTTTGTTTTAGTTTTTGGGGCATAAATTGTAAGAAATAAATGTGTAAAATTGTAAAAACAAGAAGTTTCTGTAGTGCTGAAAAAAAGGTCCTTATCAGTAGAAAAAGCCATAAAACCTTTAAAAAAGTTAAACGGACAAGTCCAAAATTTATGAGTGTTTGCAGGGCGGGTTTTAGCCCCTGGTCCTTATGTTTGACACATGCCTCTGCGGTGACGCGAGTGATATGCATCAATGTATTTTCAGTTTTTAGTGTTATTTTGACATTCTTTTACAGCACACTACATTTTATTTAATAGCTTAACATATAATATTGTATTTATGTATGTGACTACATGCTACAGTTCAACTATTTGCTATATGTTGTAGTACATTTTTAAAATTTCACATCACTGAATAACATAAAAGAACATACCTGATGTTAGTTTTCCTTCAGCATGCAGACAGCTCCAGATAGCTCTGCTGCTAAAGCCTGTTCTGACCACTTGGACTTTTACGATTTAAATACTGATCTCAAACTTGCACTGAGAGCAAACATCAAGTTCTCTATCAGAATGCATAACATACTTGTCTCCTTCCCTTGCTAGTTATGGGTCTCCCAACTTGGAGCGAATCTGGGAAGCCGACCTGGAAGCGTGTCACCTTTTCCTGCGAGGTCTCCAGTTGCGGACTCCCAGCTGCAGTGGAGCAGACATCGAAGACCTCCCCACTGCAACAGTTTATCCTCCATCCCAGCCAGGCACCAAAGAGGAAGAGGACTGTGCCATGCTGACTGCTTTAGGAGGGCGATGGTGTCCTGAGGCCAACTTACAGAACTCAGAGTTCACTAAGGTAACAGTAAATTGTCTTGTGAAGAGCACACTATGTATAATTCATCTAAACACCTCTGTATAAATGCTGGAATGCTTGACAAAGGCTGGGATTTAGTGTCTTGAATATGAAGGCTTCCCAAGTGACACTTTTAAGCGCTGAGGTCTTACATATTTTCTGCACATAACCCATGTTTGCAACTGAAAGGTCAAATGAGAACACTTACTTTCAGAAATACTTGCTTTTCTTTACTGTGCTGTGAAATGTAACCTCAAAAAAAAAATCTTCCTGCTCTGTCAGCCTTAGCGCTTGGCTGGAGAGGACAGCTTCAGTTTGTGCATGGAGCCATTGTGAGAGTCTGAGATTCTGCCGACTGCAGTGAGATGAGCAGCAGTCAGTTAGCGTGTTTGCTCGAAGGTATTTCTAAACGAGGAAAATGTGGGCGTGAGGGGGGCAACCGTTTGGAAATACTTAGACTTCCTGATTAAATGCGTTAGTGGGCTTGCATGTGTATGTATGTGCGTGTGCACATGTGTGAGTGTGAATTCTCTGTGGCGGTCTATCCCACAGTGAGCTGAGGTCCACTGCCTCAGGGCCGAGTCCGACTCATTCTCTCCTCTTCTCACACTTTCCTCCACCCACGGAGTCTGACTAGTGTGAGATAGGAACAAAGCCAACAGATCCAGCACTGTGTGTGTACATGTGTGTATATATAT